TATATATATATATATATGGCAGCAGTGCGAGTTTGGGAAATTGGTAGAGACGATAGGAACCAGGCAGCAGTAGCAGTGTCAGACATCAGGGGGCATCATGATCATGTTCGATATGCCCCGACGGCTCGGGGGCTCATCGCGCGGGGTGTCCGAAGAGAAATTGCGAGGGCAGCGTTGAGACTCCACTATGGGCCAAAGGTGGAGATCTCGGCTTTTGATTTGACAGCGGAGCCCCAATCGAGAACGCGAGGACTACTGACCGGAGCGTCCACAGCAAGGATGCTCGCAAAAATCTCTGTCGAAGACACGATTGCCTGGTGTCATGAATTGTGGTGGCATAAAGAATTAGGTTTCCTATTAGCTGGAATGAGATTGTTTGTAATGACTTGGTCCGACAATATCGTAACATTTGGAAAAAACGAGGAGGCGGCAGTGCGATTGATGCATCACATCGAAGGCGCCCTGTGGGCCATCCACGAACTTTCAATCAAAAGAGGGAGCCGGGAGCTGATCACGGCAGCTTGCCGGGATTATCAGCCAGCCAATTGAGCTGATGAATGGAAAAATGTATGGGATCACAAGTCTTGCATTCGATTGCTAGGGCCATATCTCCATGCCTCGGGAAGCCCATGGGAGGACATTCGACAAGCCTTCGCAAACATCTGGAAAGCTTTCTTTGAAAATGCAAATTTTCTTTGTAATGCAAAAATCCCAGTTGAAGCCCGGCAGAGAAAGCTCAATGCAATGGCTCACGGCATCATTCGGTCGAGAGGCGCCTCATGGATCCTGAACCAAAAAGTGTGCAAGCATATTGATCGCGAGCACCGAAAGCTCATGGCAACAATGTTGAAGCTCAAATTCGTTGGAGATTTTTCAGGCGAGCGAATCCGGAGGAAAAGAAACAGGGAGATATCAGAGACCATTGATCGACCATGGTCTCACATTTTTCTTATGTCGGCGATTTCTTGGTTGAGCCACATCCAGAGGACACGAGGACTCGATTGCTGCACATGCTTGGAGAGAGCGAAACTCAGAATGGCTACAGACAATGAGAGCAGTTGCACCGAACAAGGGCGCAAAATGGAGAAGGGTCGGTCTCAGGGCAACCGCTGGGCGGCCATGGAGATGGGACGAGGGCGGCTGGTCTTGGAAAGTGAATCCCAAGGGAACCCGAGACAAAGCAGAGATCAGCGACCTTGCCCAAACATTGTACCGGCATTTCAGAGGTGAAGATCTGTGATTCATGCTTGTTTAGATCTTGTCATCTTGCGATGAGGTTGTCGGGGGACCCGCTTCCAACAGCGAGGAGAAACAAAAAAAAGGCCACAAGAGGGCCCCACTAGAACTAAAAATGCCTCCAATAATGGGCCCCCGAGGGCGGGGGGTCTACATTTAGAGCCCCCTTTTCTTGAGCCATCGGGCCAAAGACGCGCCGCGTCTGAGGCAACAGGCGACGACGACGACGACGACGGCGACGGCAAGGACGACGACGACGAGGGCGACGGCGACGACTCAGCGCCCACGGGGTCCTTCTCCGCAGGAGCAGGATAAGGAGGGAGGATGAGGAGGATGAGGAGGATGAGGAGGAGGAGGAGGAGGAGGAGGATGAGGAGGAGGAGGAGGAGAAAGAGAGAGGAGGCGGACGAGGAGCGATGACGGGGCGAGGAGGACGGAGCGGTGGTTCGAGGCGGCTGGCGGGTAGGCGGGGTCGTTCTCTCCCTCCTCCTCCTCCTCTTCCTCCTCGTCCTCGCGCATGTGAGTGTGTGTGCATGCGTGGACACGGCGATCGACCGATCTCGCGGGCCGTTGGCAGCAGCAGGAGGAAGAGGCCAGAGGCGAAGGAGGAGGAGGAGGAGGAAGAGGAGGAGGAGGAGGAGGAAGAGGAGGAAGAGGAGGAGGAGGAGGAGGAGGAGGAGGAGGAGGAGGAGGAGGAGGACCGGGAGCAGGGAAGAAGGCCGAGGACGACCGCGACGACGGCGCAGTGCCCCAGGGGGTCCTTCTGCGGGCCAGCCCCGCTGCGGCCCCTGCCCGCGCCCGCGCCGCTCCGGCGCGCGGCCATGGCGGTGGCCAAGGCTGCCCCAGGGCACGGGGCCGAGGGCAGGCGCCCGCCCCTCCAGGAGGGGGGAGGGCAGGCGGGCCGGGCGAAACGAGGGGGATAGCAAAGGGGGGGGGGGGGGAGAATCAGCTCGCGTAGCGGATTTTCCCGGCGCCTCCCGGCGCCAGAGGCGGCCATGTCTCGAGGAATGGGCCCCTCGGTGGGGCTGAAACCAGCTGCATGCAGCAGATTTCGTAACCCCCCCTTCCCCTATCCCCCACCATTGGTCTGGCCCGAGACAGGGAACTCCGACGCTCCAAAACCCCGACGAACATCGGAGCAACGTCTTTTGGGCCGTCGTCGGCCTCCGTGGGGCCCTCAACGGGCCCCCAACCGTCAACAGAAACGGCTCGGGACGAAGAGCCAGCCCAAGGGAAGTGGTCCAGATCTCCGGGGGCCCACGCACTGACAAACACTGGAACGCCGGATGGCTGGGAGGGGGGACTCGGATACGGATTCGGAACGACGATTGCGAAGCAACATCTGGCCGACTGCTTCGGGTAGAGCCCTCTACCGGATCGCTTGAGGGACTCTCTCGGCGTCTTGGTGATACGCAGGGGATCACACGGGGATGCTGGGTCTCGGAGCTGCTCGGCCCCGAAACATCCACAAGCCCTGCAGATCAGATCTTAGACATGAGATGATTGCCGTCCAACCACTCCCGCGGGAGGCTGGCGGCCAGCAAGAAGAATCCAACTCTGCCTCGCTCCACATTGTCAAAGAGCGACGGCAGGCGACCGCGCACTTGCACGACGGAGGCCCCGCCTCTACCCCCCGCTCCCGCTGCTGCTGCTGCTGCTGCTGCTGCTGCTGCTGCTGCTGCTGCTGCTGCCTTCCATTGCGCTCCACTGCTGGCGGGGCTGCGCTCTAGAGGCGCTCTACGGGCTCAGGGGGGCTACCTGCACGGTCTCCACTGGGGCCGTAGGCGACCCGAAGAGGAGAAGGAGGAGGAGGGGGACCAGGTGGAGGAGGGGGGAGGGGGAGGGGGAGGGGGAGGAGGAGATGGAGGAGGAGAGGAGAGGAGAGGATGGGGGAGGGTAAGGAGGAGGGAGGAGAGGAGGAAGAGAGGTGGGGGAGGCGGAGGAGGAGGAGGAGGGGGAGGAGAGGAGGAGGAGTAGAGAGGAGTAGGGAGGAGGAGGAGGAGGAGGAGGAGGAGGAGGAGGAGGAGGAGGAGGAGGGAGGAGGAGGAGGAGGAGGAGGAGAGGAAGAGGAGGAGGAGGAGGATAAGAAGAGGATTGAGGAGGAGGAGGAGGAGGAGGAGGAGGAGGGAGAGGAAGGAGGATAAGAAAGAGGAGGAGGAGGAGGAGGAGGTGGAGGAGGAGGAGGAGGACGGGTCGCCTAAGCCATTCGGAGAAACCTGCAGGGCTACCCCTGCGGGAGGCTACTGAAGGCTGGGGGATCAGGCCGGGAGAGGGAGGCGGCGGAGCGGGGGCGGGGCACGGGTGGGGGCGCCTGCCCCTCAAGGCGCTCCCCTGTCGCGCCCCTGCTGCGGCACCGATGCCCTGCACAGCGAGGTGTCATCGACCTCCTCCTCCTCCTCCGCCTCCTCCTCCTCTTTTACTCCTCGTCCCTCCTCCCTCCTCCTCCTCCTCCCTCCTCCTCCCCTCCTCCTCCTCCTCTCCCTCCTCCTCCCTCCTCCTCCTCCTCCTCCTCCTCCGCCTCCTCCTCTTTTACTCCTCGTCTTTCTCCACCTCATTGCAATAACTCCTCCTCGTCCTCCTCCCTCATCCCGTTTCCACCCTCCCCTCCTCCGCCCTCTCACCCGGCCCTCCCCGCCCCGCCCCTCCTCGGGAGCGAGGGGCCGAGGTGGAAGGAGGAAGGGGCGGAAGACGAGAAGGAGGGGGAAGGGGAAGGGACGGGACGGCATTATATGGCAACTCCTGGGGGCCTCCCCTGCCATCTTGCCAGCACTTGCGTATCGAAGCTAACCGACGCCACGTCGACGCTAAGAGGCACTACATCTGCGCTCTCTCTCTCTCTCAATCTCTCTCTTCGACTGCCCATCGCTGACACACGCTGATGCACTCTGCAGACGGAACTCCGACTTCCATGAGTTGCTACCGAAACAAGTGGAGCAGGTGGAGGAGAAGAGTCAGCATGGGGGGAATGGGTGCGGTGGGAAGAGGGCCTGGACCATGGACCCTGGGGCCTTCCCCGAGGACCAGCTCTTCATCCCGAGCCGTTTCCTGACTGTCCCACGGCCCGTGGAGGGCCCCCGGAAGCCCAAAACGGCAAAACACCTCAGGACCCGATTCCCTCGGGAACCGTGTCCCTCGTCTCGCCACCGCTCGCACGCCCCTTCCCCGTGCTTCTTCCAGTTTCGGGAGCGGCCAAGAGGGGGGTGTCCAAGAGGGGGGGGTGCAAATCATGACCTGCGGCATGTGCGCGGCCCAGCGGGGGGGCCAGGGACGTAATAAAAGAAGAATAGGCACCACGAAATCTGGGGAGATATCATGGCCCACGCCATGATATCCACCCCCCCTAGTCATCACCCCCCTCTTTTCCGCCCCCGACAATTTCGTGCGCTTATTTTTCGCACGATGATCCCAAATGCTCCTCGATGACCCTCGCCGGAAAAGAGCACGCGTCCGAGCGATGCCGAGCCCATGTTGGCGGCGCGCAGAGGGGGGTCGGGGGAGGGCGGAAGGCTTCTTAGAAGGAGGCTGCTTCTTAGAAGGCGCCGGCCTTACATTCGTAGACAAGGCCCGCGCCTTCTGAGAAGCAGGGGTGCTTCTAAGAAGCCTTCCCCCCCCCTGTAAGAACGGTTTTTTGAAGGCAGATCTGCCTTCAAAGAATGGTCTACTCTGTAAGAACGGTTTTTTGAAGGCAGATCTGCCTTCAAAAAAACCGTTCTTACAGAGTAGACCAGTCTACCCCCCTCTGCGCGCCGCCAGCCATGGTCTGCCAGGCGCCCCGCGGTCTTGCCGGCAGGCCCGCCGCGGACATCCCCACCCCCGGCGGCGACGGCCGGCTCTCCTCTGCAGGCCCGTGTCCTCGAAGCCGTCGTCGGGCTCCTCTTCGCCGCCGCCGCCGCCGCCGCCGCCGCCGCCGCCGCCGCCGCCGCCGCCGCCGCCGCCGCCGCCGCCGTCGTCGTCGTCGTCGTCGTCGTCGTCGTCGTCGTCGTCGTCGTCGTCGTCGTCGTCGTCGTCGTCGTCGTCGTCGTCGTCGTCGCGGCCGCCCCTGGAGATCCGAAGCCTCGGAAAAGAGGCGAAGCGGCCAACAATGTGGGGCCGTGGTCGGCCTCTATGGGGGCCTCGGCTCGGTGGCGAGCCGGAGGGGGAAGGGAGAAGGGGCGCGCCTTCTCAGAATTATTGGAAGTCCGGGGATGGACAGACTCCCCTTTAGTAAAACGTGGTTTAGTGAAAACGACCTGAAGCCCAAACTTGGCGGTCGCAAGCCTGGAAAATAACGGCCACGGCGCCCTCTCGAAAACCGAAAACGGACAATTCACTAATCGACGTGTCACTCTTGGGGGTTCTGTCCACCCCCGAAATTATTGGAAGTCCCAGGACCTTCTCAGAAATGATCTAAACCTTCCCCAACAAAAAACTCTCAGAGAACTCTCGGAAGGCCGGAGGGGCTTCTGAAAAAGACCCGCCGCCTTCCGAGAAGGCCTTCCCCTTCTCACTTCGCACCCACGCTCGCCGCCGATCAACGGGGCCCGGGGCCGCCGAAAAAACTACTCAGGACGAACAGCAGGGATGGGGTCCAGACCTCCAGGTGTCCACGCGTCGCACAATTGGTGAACGTGATCTTGCTCGGCGTTTCGGCATTGGGCGGAAGGGGGGGAGGTCTGGCTCCACACATCTGCTTAAGGCGACTGTTTGCGGCCGTGCGTCCAATGGGGAGACTCCACCTGCTATAAAAATGGTGCCCAACACACGAGATGAACTCCATGGGGGGGAGGGGGTGCGAGAGCCCGCGCCGATCGGCAAAACAATGACTAGGAAAACGATCCCTTGGAGCGCTAGATGTCTGGGGCCGCCTTCGTCGTCCGTCGTCGTCCATCGTCCGTCCATCTTCCATCGTCGTGCGCCGTCGTCCGTCGTGCGTCGCCGACTTCCTCTTTACAACCGTCCTCGTTCCTTGTCGTCCTCCTCATCGATATCTTCCCCTCAATTCATAATCTCCCCTCCTCTTCATTCCCTAACGCCCCCTCCCAGAACCGCCGAGAACCCCCGTGAAGCCCCGGCAACTTCCCAGGACATCCGAACCTTTTCCCCCCTCTTCTCCAATCCCAACCCTCCCCCTCATCGTGGGCGGAGGCAAGGATGAATAAGGAGTAGGAGGAGGATGAGGAGAAGAAGGAGGAGGAGGAGGAAGAGGGGAAGGGAAAGCAGGGAGGGGGGTGAGGTTGGCAAACCAGCAGAGGCGCTCCTCCTCCTCCTCCTCCTCCTCCTCCTCCTCCTCCTCCTCCTCCTCCTCCTCCTCCTCCTCCTCCTCCTCCTCCTCCGCAAATATCCGCACCTGCGTGGGCGAGGCGGGCTATCGGGCCCCTGTCGGTCACTCAATGGGCGACCGGGGCCGATGCGCCCCCCCCCCGCCCAAGGGGACCACATGCGAACGCTACCATCTCGGGGGGAGGAGGAAGGCACGAGACGGGGCGGGGGATGGGAGGAGCTGAGGAGGAGGAGGATGAGAAGGATGAGGAGGAGGAGACGGTGAGGAGGAGCCCCCACGATTTCTGAGGGAGGGTGAGGTTCACTTCGCTCGGGAGCTCCTGGACAGAGTGAACCCCACCCTCCCCCTCAGAAATCGTGGGGGGGCAGGGGTCGGGTTCGCACGACGACCCCTACCCCCCGGGAGCCTATCCCCACTGACGTTGCCCCAGAAGGGTGAGGTGGACAAGACGGCCTCCTAGATGGGGTCGGAGTAGATGGGGTCGGAAGATCGCGACACATCGGCGATACATCGGCGATGCATCAGCGATGCATCGGCGATGCACCGGGGATGCATCGGCGACGTCGGCGATGCATCTGCGACGTCCGCGTGAAGAAAATCGGGCTCCGCATCGAGTCGCATCGGCGATGCATCGGCGATGCGGCGCGATCCTCCGATCACATCTACTCGGACCCCATCTAGGAGGCCTAGTAAAAAACAAATCAGTCGCGAAACATCACGACCAGAGCCCTGGACCCGATCTGTCTGCTCCCTTTTTCGAGCCGCATCGATCTGACCGCCCTCGGGTCCGAAACCGTGCCAACACACCCGGTGTGCAAAGCATGCAATGATGCAACGGATCCCCTGCGAGTTCAACTCGCCGACTTGATCCCTCTCCTCCTTGCCCCCCGGCCTACGGGGCGAAAAATACTAGCGCTTTGTCGGAACCAACTTCTCTCGTGTCTGGCGCCGGCTCCCCGAAGCGGAGCAGCGCAGTCAGGCACTACCCTCCTGTCCCCTCCCTCCCGTGCTCCTGCGCGCGCGTGCTGGCCGGACGGAGGGCCGTGGCCACTTGCACCCAGGACCGGCGGGGGAGGCGACGTGGTCGCCGAAAGCCCACCCGAGCGCCTGAAAGAACGAGCTTATCCCCATCACAGCCTCGAACCTATTCGTTGTTTTGTCGGCCCAACGTCCCAGACATCCAGCGCTCCATGCTGGCGATGCGTGGCCTGACCGAGGCCAGGACTGGTGCTCGTCCCGAGCCGCTCTCTGACGGCCCCCAGGCCTCGTCGAGAGGCCCGGGAAGCCGAACAGAGCCCAAAACATGCCGCTACAGTGTTTCCGCCGGATCTGAGCTGGGTCCCCCCGACGACGACGACGACGACTATGACGACGACGATGATGACACGGACGACGACGACGACACGGACGACGGACGACGGACGAGGGACGACAGCGACGGACGACGAGCGACGGACGACGCATGACAGCGGCGGCGGCGGCGACGACGGTGACGACGACAACGGCGCAGCGCCCGGGCCTTGAGATCATCATGTGCTGCAACTGTGTGTGCCCCGCACCCTTCGGGTCGGGCGAAAGGGGGGGATAGCAAAGGGGGGGGTTGAGAATCAGCTCGCGTAGCTGATTTTCCCGGCGCCTCCCGGCGCCGGGAGCGGCCATGTATCGAGGAATGGGCCCCTCGGTGAGGCCGAAACCAGCTGCATGTAGCAAATTTCGTACCCCCCCTTTCCCTATCCCCCCCTTTCGCCCGGCCCGACCCGCACCCTGTCCAGGCGCCCGGGAGAGCGGTCATCGGGCGGTCACGGCTGCGGGCAGCGGCGAGGGCGAGTGCGGGGGCGGCGAGGGTGCTCCGCCGCGGCGGCTTGCTGCCCCCCCCCCCCCAGGGGGCCAAGCACCACAGGCCGCCACAGCACACCTCATTCCGGCAACTCCTCCGGCCCATCCGTCGTCTTGAATCTACTTGCCCATGAAGCCTTCACCTTCTGCCCTACACCTCCTCCTCCTCCTCCCCCTCATCTCCCTCCCCCTCACCTCCTCTTCTTCCTCCTCCTCCTCCTCCTCCTCTCCTCCTCCTCCTTTCCTCACTCCCTCCCCCTTCCGCCCGCCCCCTTCCTTTTCCTTCTCCTCCATCTCCCTCCTCCCTCCTCCTCTCTCCCTCCTCCCTCCCTCCCTCCTCCCTCCCTCCCTCCCCCTCCTTCCCTCCTCCCCCCCGTCCCTCCCCCTCCCTCCCCCCTCGCTCCCTCCTCGCTCCCTCCTCCTCCCTCCCTCCCTCCTCGCTCCCTCCTCCTCCCCCTCCCTCCTTCCCTCCCTCCCCCTGGCTCCCTCCTTCCCTCCCTCCTGGGGGGGTCCTTGCCCGCGGCAATCCGGGCGGCCGCGCTGTCGGGCTTGGTCTCGGGCGCGTCGAGCTCGAAGCGCCCGGCGGCCTCGCGGCGGCCCCCGGGCCCGAGGCCCCTCGAGCGGGCGTGGCGAGGCAGGGAGGGGGGGGAGGGGAGGGGAGAGGAGCAGGGGAGGGGGAGGAGGAGGAGGAGGAGGAGGAGGAGGGGGAGGAGGGGAGAGGAGCAGGGGAGGGGGAGGAGGAGGAGGAGAGGAGGAGACGGAGGGGGGGAGGAGAGTAGGAGGCGGACGAGGAGGAGGAGGAGGAGGAGGAGGAGGAGGAGGAGGAGGAGGAGGAGGAGGAGGAGCAGGAGGACACATGGCTGGGCGAGGAGAGCGCAATGAGGAGGACACATGGGGGCTGAAGGAAGAGGGGAGGGAAAGGGAAGATGACGAGAAGGAGAAGAGGAACAGGATGTGCACGAGGAAGATCCGCCAGCCCCCTTGTGGGGCAACCAGGCTGCACGGGTTAGGCTTGCTGCTCCCTGAGCCAGTTCCAGTTTTCAGTCCACAATGTTAGTCCTGCTTTCTGCTTCCGACTGCGAATTGCTGAAGTCCGCGCGACGGGGGGGAGGAGCCGAAGAAGGGCATGGATGACCACCACCTAGGCGGGTTATCGGAATCTCTGGGGGGTCCTGGGACACGTAAACATACATGAGAGTCGCGCCCCTGAAACCACACTCCCTGATACATGACACCACATTTTCGCCTCCGATGCCAGAATCCATCAATTACACAAGATTCGCGTCCCCGAGGCCATCCCATCAGCCCTTGCAAATTACTCCGTTTCCCGCTCCAGAGACCATACTTCCTTGTAGAGCAAGCCAAGACTTGCGCCTCCGAAGCAGTACTCTCTCGCAGACTACGCAATGTCTGCGTCCCCGAAGCCACGATCCCTACTGAATTACACGCTGGTCGCGTCTCCAAAATCATAAACCCTTGTGAAGTACGCAATCTTCGCTCTTGCGAGGTGATCATCCTGTATACAAGGTCCCCCAAGACGGTAAAGAGGCCTCCGAGACGGCCCAAGAGTGCTCCAAGGCGCCCAAGATGGTCCAAAAACTGCCCAAGAGGCTCCCAGGAGACCCCCAAGAGCGCTCCAAGAGCACCCCCAAGAGGAACCTAAGAGGCCAACATCTGCGATATTCCTCTGGTGTTTGATGGATTTTGGCACGCTCGCCTCTTCGGGCTTCCGACGCTCCAAGACGGCCCAAGAGGACCCCCGAGACCGCCCCAAGACGGCCCAAAAGGCTCTCAAGAGCACCGCGAGGCGGTTCAAGAGGGCCCCAAGACGGCTCTGGAGGCCCCCAAGACGGCCAAAGAGGGCCCCAAGACGGCACCAAGTTTGACCCCCGACGGGGGGCCCGGGGCCCGAATCCTAGCGGCCCCCGTTCGGAAATCCGACGCTGCTTCACGACGGCGCCCAGGCCTCACAACATAGCTCTTGCATACCCCATTCTCCCAGAGGGGGCCGGCGGCAGGGGGCGAAGCTCTTCCGGATAAGTTTGACGGTGGTGGTGAAGGACAACGGATGGTGAGGGAGGGAGAGCGGCAAAATGGAAGATAGAAGAGCTGGGGGAGAACGAGGGTGAGGTTAGGGGGGGCCAGCGGGAGGGAGGAGGATGAGGCTGGAGGAGAAGGGAGGAAGCGAGACAGGGTGGGGAAGAGGAGAGAGGAGGGAGTCAGAGAGGAGATGCGGAAGCGCAACGAGAACGAAAGTGCCCACCTCAACCAATCCTCAACAGGGCAATGTTGGTCGCAGCTATGAGCAGATATCGGCTCCCGCCCACGCGGGGAGCGAGGCGGTGGTGATCGTCGTCGTCGTCGTCGTCGTCGTCGTCGTCGTCGTCGTCGTCGTCGTCGTCATCGTCGTCCTCGTGCTCGCCGCCATCAACTGTCGTCATCGTCGTTGTCGTCCTTGTCCCCGTCCACCTCGCCGTCTCCGTCCCCCTCGCTGCCGTCATCCACCACCCCCTCGTCGGCGCACTCGCCCTCCTGGTCGGCGTCGGCGCCGCCCTCGCCGTCACCTCCGCTGTCGACGCCCTCGTCGGCGTCGCCCTCCTCACCGTCGCCCCCGCCGCCGCCCTCGCACGACCGCCCTCGCACGCCAGCCGCAGGGCGCGCCTGTGGCTCGTCGCCGGCGGGAGCCTCCATCTCCCCGCCCTTGACGAGCTCCTGCGGGAGGAGGCGCCCCACTGGTGGGAGTGCTGCTGCGGCTGCCCCGCGGCCCTCGCCCTCCTCGTCCGCCGCCCCTGCGCACCTCCTCCTCCGCCGCCTCCCTGCTGCTACCCGTCGCCCTCACACTCATCTAGCTCCGCCTCCTGGCCTCCCCTCCTCCACATCCTGTTCCGCCCCCCCCCTCCCCCCCCCCTATCCTCCTTCCCCCCCCTATCCTCCTTCCCCCCCCTCCCTCCCCCCCCCCCCCCCCCCTATCCTCCTTCCCCCTCCCCTCCCCTCCACCTCTCTCCTCCCCGCCACTCCCCTCCAATTGCAGGCACGGCCAAGTTTATGCCACCCTCACCGCCGCTCGTTCTCCGTCCCCCTCCCCCTCTCCCTTCTCGTCCTCCTCGTCGTCTGCTCTTCCTTCCATCCTTCCGCCCCAGCCTCCTCCCCTCCATCTCTCATCCCTCCCCATGTCTTTTCGTTCAGACCGTATCCTGATCACATTCTTCTTGGTTTTCCTCTTTCGCTGAAGTGTCCAGATGGCGCACCCCCATCACGTAAGAACATAGCAAACGTTCCCGTGTGATGAGGATCACACGGGGAGGACCGGGTCCCTGTTGTTGTATCCTGCCAATGCCCGCTTTAGTTCCGCTCCTCCTCCTCCTCTAGCTCCGACTCCTCATCCTCCTTTTTCGTTCCTCTTCTTCCCTCTCTCTTCCACTGCATGACTTTTGCAATCGTCGCTTCCTCATCTCATCCCCTCGCATCATCACCATCTGCCCTCCCTTATTTCGCTCCCATTCTCTCTACCGCTGCTCACCCCCGCATCCTCATTCTCCTTCACAACCGTCGTCTATCCCCCCATCCTCCTCTTCCTCAATATCCACTGCCTCTGACACAGGGCCATGATTATCCTGCTGGTGTTCCTCCTGATGCTACGTCTGCTTCAACAGCTGATTCTCCTCCTCCCCCTCCTCCTCCCGATCGTCATCCTCCTCCCCTATGCTGATGATATTACTGTTCCTCTCCCCTCCCACATCGCTTCCCTCCTCGTCCCCACCTTCACGACCCCTTCTCCCTGCCTCTTCCTCCTCCGCCCAGCTCCCTTCCCCCTGCCTCGTCTCCCGTGCCCCTCCCCTTTGGACGACTCATTGTACGTGTTATTCGCCGCACCCCCCCCCGATCATGTGCAGCGGCGCTGGTGTGCGCTCCCCCACTCGCTGGAAATTCGTGGCTGGATGTCTGTTCTGCTTTGCCGCTCGGACCGTCTTCGACCTGTGCAGTTGCCCACTCGGACCGTTTCGGGCTGTCCCGACAAGCGCTCTCGCCTGGGCGGCTATCGCAATCCTCCCCTGACACGCCTGGACGCGCTACCGTGGACTGGGGATCTGCGGACCTGGCGCGCGGGCGCCAGGTCCACAGATCTGGGACAGCTTCTTCCCAACCATGGGGGCCAGTGGCGCCTCAGTTAGCGACGGAGCGCGCCGATTCAGTATGGAACTTGGCCCCGTGGCCAATCCACGCGCCTGAATCCATCTTTGCGATCCTTCGATCTAGTTATCGGCGGCAAGCCGGAGGGTGGGTAAGTGAAAGTGGGCGGGCCTTCTCAGAAGGCTCCGACATCCCCCAATCTTCCGAGACATGCCCTAAGCCTTTCCCAAGACATGGACAACTTCGCAGAAAGCCAGAGAGCTTCTGAGAAGTCCCGCCGCCTTCTGAGAAAACCTTCTGCTGTTCACTTCCCCCACACAGCCTCGCCGGCGATCCGTCCCTCCCCTCCCTCCCCACCCTCCCTGCTCCCTGTACCTTCCCTCCCTCTCGAGGGCCCTCCCTTCTCTCTCTCCCTGTCCCCTCCCCTCCCTCCCCTCTCCCCCTTGAGCAGGGACCGCCCGTCACGGCATTCCTATAGGTCTGCCACGAAAAATTCTTGGAACCCAACCATGTTCGAATAACAAACCAATGCTCTTAGAACATAAGCCCGATGCTTTAGCACAAGACAGTCCCGGACAGAAATGTTCTTAGAGCATTCCGCGCAGACCACAAAAGGTTCTTGGAGCATTCTCTGGTGGGCCTACAGGCAAGCCGGGACGCTTCGACACTGTTTGATGTCCCGTTTCCCCTCCAGGCGCGCCGCCGAAGCTACCCGACAGGAGTGCAACGCTCCGCTCCCCTCCCCCGAGGACGGCCCGCAAGGCGCGCGCGGGCGTGCCCCCGAGAGCACCCGCGGACGCGACGAGCCCGCGGCTGTCGCCGCGACTGTCGCCGCGACTGCCGCCGCGGGAACCCGCGCGGACTGGGCCTGACTTAGGTCGGGCATGTCCCCCATACAGAAGGATTTTGGAGGCCAAATAAGTAGTAGTCAACAAAAACTCAAAAATAGTCCACATCCAGAAAATCGTTACGTTAGGAAAATCGTCACCAAACTATATTTGCACTATTTGTGAATTTTCCATCTGTAGAGGGACACGACTTGAGGCCAGACCTCGGAAACAGCTGCCCCGCCAAGGCGGCCCCCCTGGTACCAATTGATTTTTTTGTTGCGACAACGCCGGTGACCAGCCCCGCCCCCCCCCCCATCCCCCCATGTTCACGTCACGGTTCGCGCCTGCGCCGTCTGGGAATGAGCCATTCTGAAACATCCCCAGACGTTGCACGCTCGGATCGTGACGTGACCAGGCCCCCTCAATCCTCCTCCCCCCGCCCGGGTCACGCCCGTTTATCGCAAGGACATGTTGCATATCTGTATTATATCATCGTATATATATTTTCCTTCCGACCCACCTACAGGCATACAGACAGACAGACAAACATGCCTGCATACATACATACACTTAGGAATCGATGTATACGTACATGTATACATACAGACACACATACACATACACACGCACGCATACACATACCAATATACATGTGTACGTACGTACATATTCACAACTGATTTTCGGCCGCTGGCTCGAATCGAAAAGGCTTCGGTGTCACAGCCCATGAATTAAGAGATGCGCTGAACGAGGCATGACTTTTGCCACGCCCCTCGGGTTGGGAATACGTCCTTCCAACGTCTACCGCACCCACCCACATGTAAACTCGTGCGTTTCAGGTCGGAAGCGCCGCCGTCACATGCACGCGATTGCCCGTCGAGGCTGGCCTGGAGCGGAGCTACCCGCATCCAGGGTGTCTCATTGCGCCCGCAGCCGATGATGCCCTCCTGCGCCCATGGTGTCGTGACGGCGGGTCGCCGGCTCACGCCGTCGCACCAGTGGCGACCCTCAGCGCCAGCTTGGGCCGTCCGCTGGCCAGGACGCAGCTCGCCCTGCGTAGGCATCCCGTCATCTCGCGCACTGCCAGGTGCTTCGTTCCCATGTCGGCTGGGTTTTCGCTCCCTGGCACCTTCTCGATGACCAGCTCCCGCTTGGCCACGGCCTCCTGCCGCCAAAGGGTCCGGGCGTTGAGGTGCCTCACCTTCCTAACGCCGCGTCGAGAAGCAATGCCCTTGCTCGCGCTGGCGTCCACGCGCGCGCGGTTTCAAGACCTCGAACAGATCGGCCGCCGTGGCAACGGCGCCAATCGCGCGGCTCGCACTCTTGGTCGAGGCGTAGAACTTCGCCTCGCCAGAGCTCGTGGCCACGACGTTCTGCGTCGCGCTGCTGGTCGCGATCAGACTCCCCGCGGGCGGCAGCTACGTCGTTATCGTGGGGCTCATCGGGATCCTGCTCCCCGTGCTGCTCTCGTTTGCTACTCTGCGACAGCCCCGCCTGGCTGGGCCCGCCGCCAGAGTCGCCTGTGGCTTTGCGCGGCACGGCGGCTGCTCGGTCGGGAACGCCTGGCGAGGCCATGCGCGACGGGGCGGGCCGTGCGGTTGGCCTCCAGGCAAGGGCCAGATCGCCTCTGGCGGTCGGGGCAGAGAGGGGCGCTGCCCTGCGGCGCGCGGGGGCAGGCCCCTCTCGATGGCGTTCGCCAACGGACCTGTGCCTGTACACGCTCGTGGGCGCGCCCCCATCCGTAACCGCGAGGCGATAGCCAGATGTGGGGATGCCGCGGGTAGCTCCGGGCGCAGACGCGATGTCGGGCACCGGCCCTTTCGGGGCGTCCGTCGCCACCCCCGACGAGGCCCCGGCTTCGAGAGGGGCTGGCTGCGGCTCGCTATCCGCATCCGCTCGGGCAGACGCGCTGCCGGGGGAGGGAGGGCGAATGGGCGCGAAAGGGTTTCTGTCGACAAGCTGGCGAATGGCCTCGTTGCCCTGCCTCTGCAAGGCTCGTCCGTTGTTCCTGCGGGGCCCAGCTTCTCCCAGAAGAGGCCCGCTGGCTCGGGCACTGGGATGCGGCGGCAGACGGCCGTGCACCTGCTTGCGTGGCCAGGGCGAAGCCCGGGTCATGGCTGTCGCGGCAGCCCCCGACTTCGGCCACGGCTGCGGACACGGGTTCGCCGTGGGTATTCCTACCTGCCCTGGGCCCCCCGTCGATCGGCAGTTCGCGGTCTCCTCGAGTGCTGGTCGCCCCCCTGGCCTCAGCGGTTGGCCTACTGAGGCCACTGCTGCGAGGCACTGTCGGGCTGGGTGGGCCGATGGGGGGGGGGGGCCGTCCACGTCCATTGGGGGGAAGTCCTCCTGCCCTGAGGGTTCTGCTGCGTCGCCGAGTGGGCGCGGTGCTTCTGACGTGGCGTGGTGGCCCGGGATCGCCGCGCCAGGTGAACTGAGCGGCGGTTCTGCATTGCCCATCGGGACTGGGGGTTCGTCAACGTCACCACGGTCCGGTCCAGGGCGCGGTCTCGTGGCGGGGTCGGAGTTCCCGTTGTGGGGATAAGCGGCGCGTCTTCCTTGTTCGCCCTCCAGATGGTCGTCTGTCGTCGTCGCTGGGCGTCGAGGTGGTCCGCGCTCAAGGCGGTCGTCGGGGAAGGGGTTTGGGCTCGAGACACAGCGGTTTGCATCTGGCCTGACGGGCCCCATCTCACCTTGGAAATTCGATAAGATCGAAACCGCGCTCCCCTCTGGCCTCGCTGGGCCCCATTTCAG